TTGCAACTCTACAGCTGAGAGAAAGACTTCAAGAGAAGCCGAAGGGTGCAGAAAGGAGGGCTAGATTGGCTTTGATGACTTCACAATTTTGCTGAAATGCACTGAGATACAAATTAAATTGCACACTCTCTATCTGTTGGGGTCATAGGTTTATTCATTCATTCATTAAAAAATAAAATGAGGCCTACTATGTGCCAGGAACTGGGAATATAGCCCTGGGCAGTCAAGTTTCCTGCCCTCTGGGAGCTGACACTCTAGAGCTCCTCATGCCCAGTCTGAAATTTTCCTTCTTTCTTTTAATTCTCTGTGGGGTTGCTGGGGTGTGGGGTTGTACACCTGTAATCCCAGCAACTCCACCGAGGAGGCTGAGGCAGGAGGATCACAAGTTCAAGGCCAGCTTGAGCAACTTGGTGAGACCCTGTTTCAAACTTTAAAAATAAAAAAAGGTCTGGGATTATAGCTCAGTAATAAAGTGCCCCTGGGTTCAATCCCCAATACCAAAAAAATAAAAAATTTTCCATGGATGAAATGGGCCATGAGATGTGGAAACATTCAATTGAGGCCAGAGATCCTTGCTAAAGACTAGAACATGAAAATAACAGTAACAGGGGCTAATAGCAACTTTAGGGATTCTTCAGGATTTGAAGAGTCTCTGGTGGCCGCTGTCTCCACTGGTATTGAGTAGTGGCTGACAGAGTAGTAGATGTTCTTCAGCTCATTCTTGTACTAGGAAGTCCTTGGAGCTCACTCTCACTTCTCTGTTTTAAGATCCCACACCAAACCCCAACTGTGGCTAAGATACTAGCCCTGTTATTGAGAAAGGCATGGCATAGATCTGAATGCAAGAAAATCAGGTGCTTTTGCAGAGTTCAGTCCTAAAAGCTTCAAAGCAGGCTATCGTAAGAACCCTAGACCAGCAGAAAACCAGCCTGCAATATCAAGGTTGCTAGGGCTGCTTCTTTCCTGGAGTTGGGTGTCTCCATGCTGCCTGCCTCTGTCTTGCATTCTGTTCTGTATCCCAGCCTCAGCCCCAAGGGTGAGTCCTCACCCTTAAGTTCAGGGAAAGGCCAGAGGCAGGAGTTGGAAGACTTGGAGTTTAGCTTCATGTCTTTCTTTAACTTTTTGATGTTCCTGGGGTGGTGGGGGTTGGGGGATCACTTTACTGTTCTTAACCTCAGCTTTTTTTTTTTTCCATCTGAAAAATGGAGAACAATATTGTTAAGAGAATGTTTCAACCGTGCGACCAGCACGCTAGCTTCATACTAGAGGTTCAAAGCATAGAAGTTAACTAGTGAGATCAAAATCAACACACAAAACTCAATTTACCTTTTTCTTTGACCAGGTCTGAGACAGCTCTCCCCTCTGGCTCCTGCTTCGAGCCACCTGGTGGGGCAGCGAGGTTTACACCAGAGACTAGCAGGAGAGAGAGAGAGAGAGAGAGAGAGAGAGAGAGAGAGGAGAGAGAGCACACGCCAGGGAGTGGCCTTTTTTTGGGGGAACAAGAAATTCAGGGGAAAATTCCATCCAATGAAGGTCGAGGGGGACAGCATTCCAAGGTCAGGGTCAGTCACACCCCCACACGGATGGGCTCTAGCACCTAGAAAGGGTGGGGATTAGTTCTGACACAGTTTAGCCAGAACGCCTCACACCCAATCAGGGAGGTGCCCAATCACGTGCGAGCATGGCTTCCTACCAATGTTAGCTACTTGGGATGGTCAATCTTGGTTGTCCACTTGTCTGGATTGTGAAACACCTAGAAAATTGGTAAAGTGTACCTCTGGGTGTGTGCATGAGAGTGCTTGGGATGACTGGCCTGTGGGTCAGTGAATCGAGGGGGAAATGCCCTCCCTAAATACGCTCCCTAGCGCAGAGCTGTTCAGTGGGTTGGGAGCCTGGATGGCACAAAAACAGATTACCCAACAACCATTCCTCTCCCTTCTTAGCTAACTGTACTCCTTTTTTTTTTTTTTTTTTTTTTTTTTAATGGTGCTGGGGATGGAACACAGAGCTTCATGCATGCCAGGTAAGCCCTCTACCACTGAGTCCCTCTCCAGACTCTGTGTTCCACTTTTGTTCATTCACATGTGAGTGGTCATGTTTTCATGTTTCAGACCTAATCCAGTCTCAGACCCAAATCTAGTGGATGAATCTCAATTTCCCAGTACAGCCACAGATAATTCCGTTCTCTTTGACAAGTGTTTAAGATCAGAAATGCAATACAATTCTGGACCATGACATGGTACAAGAGATCTGCAAGGGAGATTCTAGGAAAAAATCATCTTTATTTGAAAAACAAAATGAAGAGAGACTCTTCCCTTTGTTACCTCTCTCTGCGTGGCTCTGTGAGGAGGCGTGGCCCAAGGCTGTTGCAGCCATCTTAGGACCCTGAGGCGGCAAGCCTGAGGATAAAAAAATCCACCTGCTGGAGAGGGCAGGATGGAAAGATGGAAAGAAACTGTGGGTCTCTGATCATTAAGCTTCCAAATCATTCACTGCCAGAAACTACCTCAGAACTCCTTGCTGTGTGATGGATGATCAGTGTCCTTTTTGTTTAAGGCAGTTGAGTCCATTATTTGCTGCTAAAAGTATCCCAACCAATTCACCATCTATGCAGACAAATACCCACAGGAGACGGTGGGTAGAATTCAATGGAAGCGCGAGGAGAGAAAGCGGGCGACGGGGAAGGCCAACAGGATGGCAGCAGAGAAGAAAAGGAAAGAGGAAAGAAGACCGAGAAAGAGCCCCACTGGGCCCAGGAAGAGAATTAGAACACACTGTGTTGTGCAAATTAAGGAAAGGACAAGGCCCAAGGAAAATAGGGCGAGGGGTAGAATGAAACCATGCAGAAATAAAGATGAATGAGTTTTGCAACAATAGAGCGTGCGGAGGCCTGGGCGGGCAGGGATCATGATTTGCTGGTTGACTGACTGCCTAGATGATTGATTTGACAGCTTTGGTCCCCCTCACTGGCCACTCCATGGTGGTCGGGATGACCCTAGTGTCCAGGACTTGTGAAAGCCACATGTCCAGGGCTTCTGGGACTGTGGAGTTTACAGAATGCTGCCCATTGTCACACCGGGAGTCCTGGCACCTGGTCCTGACCCTATCTTGTGCAGACAGAACATGAAACAGTTTGTTTATCAGTCCCAACTTGAGGCTCTGTGGCTTTGTTGCATTCCTGTTACCAACACTGGGAGCGGCCCCGCTCCTGCTCATCCTGCTTCCTCCTTCCTTTCTTCCTCCTTGCCCTTTACTAGCTGACTCCGTGCTTCCTAGCCTTGGTCATGTGGTTGCCCTGCCATGAAGGTCCTCCTTCCTCATCCCGTCTCTGCTTGTTTAAAATCCCACTTCCTGTGCTTGAAGACTGATGCTTTCTCCAGGAAGCCCTCCCCAGTCTCCCCCAGATGGAAATCATGGCTAGCACTTCCTGCAGCACTCGCTCTCATTCCACTCGGCTTGAACTTCACCTAAGCACCAGGGAGGAGGTATTTGAGGGCATGTGTGCTCTCCTGGTAAACTCACCTATGGAAGCAAACAGCCTGCACAAACTCTGTCCCCCCGTGTAAGTGCAAAGGGGTGAGTGCAGTGGAGAGAGAACTGCACACACCCTCTCCTTCACCTATGACCCGACCCTACCCCTCTTCCCTTCTCAGAAAATCTCCAAGGTAGAGGGACCTTGGCAAAGCATGCTGGGACTTGCTCAGACCCTGGCTCTGAATAGCCCTGCGGGGCCTGGCTGTGCCCTGCCCAACTTCCCTACCTTCTGAGAGTAAGTGACCTCACAGGCTCCAGATAAATGCCCACTTCCTTTTGGGCCAACCTCTCTCTCTCTGCGGCCTTCCCTCCTCTTGGCCTCTCTCCTGGGCTCCAGGCCCGATGTCTGGCCACTCTGTCTTATCTCTCTTTCTCATTCTTTATCGGTCATTGTTTCTTTCTCTGTCTGCCCATCTCTCTGAGACACTGTCCTTGTCCTTCCTCACCTCCCTTCCTCACTCCCCAGTCTCCCTGAGAGGAAGAGCCTCCAAAGAAAACAACAGGCCTCCTGGCCTGCAAGAAGGGAGAGATCTTACCAGATCCCGGGGAACAGACCCACAGGATAAAGGGCTTTAGCCTGTTAGGATCCCAGAAGCCAGAAATGCAAACTGTCCTCTGACGGGTGTCTTAAAATGGCGGCCAATTTATTTTTTTTTTGGGGGGGGGGGTGCACCCTTCTTAGAAAAAAACAAACAATAACAGATGACCAGTACCCTCAGTTTATGCCTGTCTACTTATTCATAAGCCATAAATAATCGTGGTGAAGAATGCTAGTTGCCTCCCAATATACTGTTTCCCTTCTTCTACAATGTTAACCACCTTACATTTTAGCTGAACACACAATCAGTTAAAATTAAGGCTGTATTTTCCGTGCCTTAGTAGAGGGATATAACCATTGGGATTAGGTTGTGGCCAATGGGATTTCTTTCTTTTCTTTAGGTGATGGGAATGGAACCCAGGCTTGTGCAGGCTAGGCCAGTGCTTCACCAGGGAGAGACACCCCCAGCCCCTTTTCATTTTATTTTTGAAACAGGGTCTCACTGAAGTGCCCAGTCTGGCCTTAAACTTGTGATCTTCCTGCCTCAGCGCCCCAAGTCACTGACATTACAGGTGACAATGGGATCTGAACAGAAGTGATGTGTAAATTCTTGAATTCGCCCCTCTACCTGACTACCTTCAGGCTGCCCCTGGAGCATGGGTTTCGTGGAAAGCTCTCTTGGACTCTAGATTAGGATAAGCCCAGCGATAAGCCCAGCAATGGTAAGGAAACGAGAAAGGAGAAGCCTGAGTCACTTGACAATCTGATGGAGCAGAGGCTTCCTATCAGCCTATCTGTCTGTCTCTAGACACTTCTGTCTAATTTAGTTACCTCTGTCAAGCCCCTGAACCTGTACTTTTAACTATGTTGTATTTTTATAACAACATTGTGTGCAGCATAGAGCACACATAACACAGGAACTGAAAAGGACGATTTTTCAATTAAGTTTTTACTTTAGAATAAGCTTACATCTACAGAGATGTTTCAAGAATAGTACAGCAGGTCCCGTGTTCCCCAGACCCCATTTTTATTATTAATATAGTACATTGCCATGATACATTTGTCACTATTAGCGAACCAATTTTGATACACGATTATTAACTAAAACTCCTGCCTTACGGTGTTAATTTTTAAAATCAATAGAAATTTACTGTTTTCTTCCCAACCCAGTGCATCTTGCTTGACCCTTCTGGCATGGGCACCCACCCCATGCACCCCATGGAGGATACCCTTGCCTTTGATGCTCAGGCCCCTTGTGACCATGCCTGACAGTCTTCTCACTGGTCATGCAACACAGGAAAAAGGCACCAAGAGGGGACACCAGATGAAGGGAGCTGAGCTTTCCATGTTAGAGCCCAAGAGCTCGAGGACTGAGTAGGTGCTGGGAAATGGTGTGCTGGGTGTCACAAAGAAGTTCAGAAAGCCTCTTGGAGGCGGTGCCCCCGTAGAGAGCTGTTGCTGGAAGAGGCCAAGGCTGATGGAGAGAAGGCCTGGCATTTCCAAGGTGGAGTCGAGCCCATGCGCAGACTCCAGGAGTGGAAGGGGAAGGGCGAGGTGGGGGTGGGGGTGAGGTGGCATCTGGTTTGCATTAGGAATGTGGGCTGGGAAAAAGCACAGAGCCAGGCCAAGAGGCAGGGTGGTGGGTGTCTGCCCTGAGTCCTGGGGGCTTTCCTTGTTGCAGAGCCTGTCTGTATGCCTCGGAGCCCAGGGCCCTGTGTGCTCCGCGTGAGCCCTCTTCAGGGCGGTGGGGTTTTCCTCCACCCTTGGGAGCCCGGGTATCTGGAGGGCAGCCGCGTTTCAGAGAACACGTAGAACAAGACTCTGCTTTCCAGGACAGGCCAGGAGATGAGCGTTCTCAGGAGAATCGAGGTCTTTTCTGGCATCTGTGCTCCCGAGTGCACCCATGCCTACAGGACCCATCCCTTGCCGCCAGCTTCTGTTCAAACCCTGATTTCCAACCCAGAGTGAGCATGAGGTTCTATGTAGCTATGCAGGCAAGATGCCTGTGGGTTGAAGGTGTTCAGGAAGAAGCAGGGGTTCTAGAGCCATCTGCAGTTTTTCTCATCTGAGGAGAAATTAGCCCAGGGAGTTGTGCCTGGTGCCTTGCATTCTGATTATCATTTAAGTCTGATTTGTAGAAACATAGGCATAGAATAAGGAAGTCACAGACCTGGGAGGAAGGAACATATGTATCCTTATCATGGAAATAACCATCTCCACGTCTATTAACAGGTGCTCAATAAATCTATTGAATGAACTGTCCCTCCAGCCTTTACTTACCTTATTCACAGCAGACCCAACTGGGGTCTGGGTATCCTGAGTGTTGGGTCTGAGCATGCTCTTTGCTATATGGAATTGCTTCCGGACCTCAGGTGGCCCAGCAGAAGTTCCAGCTACTTTTTGGTTCTGTTGGTCAGCTTGTAATCTCCACCCCGAGAATAACTATGCTCATCTTCTCCTCTGGTGGTTCAACTAAGCTCATTAGAACATGGAGCTAGTGAGGGCACTTGCAGCTGCAGGGCTGTTTCTCACCTGGGCTACGTTTCCTCTTGGTATCATAGTTTTACATACACCTGTCTGTGGCCCCCAAGAACCTCTGGGTCTCATCTTCGTTGTTTTCTCCATCTCTTTGTTTTCTCTGTCTTCTTTGTTTTCCCCAAGACACTCCTGGCGTATCCCACATGGAGGAATGGAAGAGTGTGGTTGGTGGCATTTTGCCTGTGTTGGAAGAGCAACTGGTGCTGCTCCCGGTGAGACCATCTTTCCCTTAAGGTAGATGAGACCATAATGTGCTAAGAGGTTAAATTCAAACTCGGGAACCATGAGATTGAGCAGGAAATCCTAGGCATAATCTCATCTGCCCATAGAAGCATCTAAACCCCAGAGGAAAGGACTGCTTAGAAGCCAGGCTGGGAGAAACTGGCTAAGGTCACCCAGGTTCCCAACCAGGCAGGAGGACTGAGTTACAGATTCACAGGCAGCTCCGTGGTTCCAGAAGAGGAGAGGAAGCCAGTTAAGCCAGCGCTGTGAAGCGACTTTCTCTCCTCTCCCTGCTCCCCAAATCCCATGGCTCTGCTTTCTCCTGCTGCTGGGGAAAAGGGACAGGCAGTAGCGACAGCCTAGAAGACATGATGGGCATGCCGATCTTCCCTTGTTGGAATCCTCTTCAGTATCCTTGTAAAGATTGGTTCCGAATTTACCATACGAAACTTCAACTCTATTCCAGGTGGAAATAAAACATACAAAGTTAGTATTCTTGGTAAACCATCTCTAGCACAGATGAATGACTTGTCAAATGAATGTCTAAAATACCTCCCCTGCGGAAGGGTGTCTCCACAGCAGGCAGTAAGGATTCTTGTCGCCCTTGGGGGCACAGCCCAGGTTCACTCTCTTCCACTTGTATACCTGTTCCCTCCTGGGAAGCTCTCAGGACAGGCTCCCCTGCACGCCCCTAGAGAGAGCACCCAGTGGCCCCAGACAGTCACAGAGCCCAGAGCCTTGACAGTGCTAGTTCCCATCAGCGGGCCTTCTCCCAATACTGCTGCATGCCACCCCCCTCCCATTTCCTCAGAATACCACTGGGATCCTTGGATGTAAGGCACTTGGCAGCTTCATGGGTTTCCCAGGCAGCCCCTGGCCCCCTAGACTCTGAATATTGGTAACCTTCGCCCCTATGCAACCCTGACCCTTGGGCTTGGAACCAGAGTCATTAAATATTTCTCTCTCAGTCTCCAAAGGGGGGTAGGGTGGACTGGCTTCTGGGAAGCAGCTGGATTCTCCCCACCATGTACAACACTCAAATTCTGACTGGGCAGGAAGGGTGACCCCGGCTGGAATAAAGCTGTCCGGGCTTCCCTGAGAGGGGAAAAACACAACCGGCTTTTCCTCCAGCCACCGTCAAGTCACCCACACTATCCTAAGGAGGAATTGGCCCCAAGAATGTAAAATCAGGAAGAAACCTAAACCCATTCCATGTAGCTTAAAGAATTCTATGACCTAAAAAAAAAAAAAAAATTCTTAACTTTGACAATTATCTAAGTTTTCCGGGGATAGGGAGGGAGGGAAGCTGATTTCTGATGAAACCTGGCTACAGACAAGTCTCAAAACAGAGATTCCACCTGATAACGTCTGAGAGGCTGTTCTCTGAGTTTTTAAAAAGTCATGGGAATAGATAAGAGTCTAAGGGCTCTAAGTATTTTCTGCTTTGAAAACAAAACTAGCCATAAAGTTTCAATGCTAGAAGGGGACTTTGAGACCACTGAAGCTGACATCCTCTTTACATAAAGGAGGAAGTCAGAACCCACGTACGTGGTCAGGAGGGCAGGTAGACTGACCCTGAAATAGGAAGCATAGCCTCCCCTCAAAACTTTGAGTCATGTCCTCATGGTGGCAATGTCTGTAATCCCAGCAACTCAGACAGTAAGTTTGCAGGTTCAAGGTCAGCCTCAGTAACATAGCGAAGCCTAAGCAACTTTGCAAGACCCTGTCTCAAAATAAAAAAGAAGAAGTGCTGGGGATGTGGCTCAGTACTTAAGAGCTTCTGAGTTCAATCCCTGGTACCAAAAACAACAACAACAAACACCTTGAGTCATATACACACCTATAACTAGAGACGAACTTTTTTTTTTTTTTCCGGTACTAGGGATTGAATCCAGGGTCACTTTTCCTCTGAGTCACATCCCCAGTCCTTTTTACTTTTTATTTTGAGATAGGATTTTGCTAAGTTGCCCAGGCTGTCCTTGAACTTGCTATCTTCCTGCCTTAGCCTCCCCAGTGGTTGGGATTACAGGTGTGTGCACCACCATGCCCAGCTAGAAACCAATATATTTACCCAAGGCCTCTTACCCAGCAGCTCTGCCATGCCACATAAAGATTTTTGCCCAGCTGCTATTTTGTTGCACCTGCTGGGTGTGCTCTTTTTTTTCCTGTATGTGTCATTATGTACATTTTAATGACTTATTTCCCCTATTAACCAATAAACTAGAAAAAAAAATGGGGCCCTTGGGTTTCTGCTTGTAAACTCCATGTTAATGACACTTTAGTGACTTGACATTAACTAACCTATAACTAACCTCCTACTGGCTACTATCTCAGGTGACCTCCAGCAGCTCTCCAGGGTGGTGTCCTGACTGTGCTACTTCCCAGCTATGTGATCTCGAGCCATGACCTAAACTTTTCTCCAGAAGGAAGGTCTACAGTCCCCAAAATACATAATGTGCAAAGCAAACAGAAGGCCCAGTGAATCTCAACTTCAGGGCAAAATCCTCTGGAACCCCAGCAACCAGATTAAATTCCATAAATTCCTCCTATTGATTAAAATTCTAGAACCGCCACTGCTCCCTTACTTTGAATTTCCTCATCTGTAAAGGTGGTAAATAATATTGACTATGATTATTGAGAAAGGTAAATGAGATAATCCATACTTGGCACTTTGATAAATCATTCAAAACATGTAAGCACCAGTTGCTGTACAGGATGGATGACAGGTAAAACATTTGCTGTCCTCTGGCTCTTACAGCTTCCCAGAGGCAGCAAAGGATGCTAAGTGACTGATGCGACTGACAGACTAATGTAAGAATGGAGAAGATGCTGATCCAGGTTACTATGCGCTGATTTTTCTTTTTTCTTTTCTTTCTTTTATTTTTTTTTTCTTTTTTTTGTACCAGGGATTGATCTTGGGGGCACTCGACTACTGAGCCCCATCCCCAGCCCTTTTTTGTATTTTATTTAGAGACAGGGTCTCACTGAGTTGCTTAGGGTCTTGCTAAGTTGCAGAGGCTGGTTTTGAACTTGCAATCCTCCTGCCTCAGCCTCCGGAGCTGCTGGGATCACACTGCACCTGGCGCCATGCACTGTTCGGGGAGGTCTGGGAAGATTTCAGAAAGGTTAAGAAACCTGAGCACGTGCTGCGGGACCGAGGCTCTCCTAAGCAGGTTGGCGATGGCCCAGCTGGAAGGACACCCTGCAGGGAAAGGAAGACAGGTCATAAGCTGAACGGCATCTTCAAGGTGTGTGAGTAATTGAGTGAGGGGTGTGAGAAGTGATAGGCAATGAGACAAAAGTGGCTTTGGATCAAGGAGACCTGGGTTCCAATAATGGCTCCCTCCCTGACCAGCTGCCTGAGCAAGTCCCTTCACTCTCCGAGGGCCATTTGGAGGGAGAATGCAGCCACGGAGAGGGCATCCTCCAGGCCCGTGCCACACTCTGGAAAGACCATGGCGAAGGCTTGACCCCTTCCTGGGAACAGTGAAAACGTCAATCAAAGGAGAGGGGCGGGAGATTTGGGAAGCCTGGAGGCAAAATGGATCCTCCGGGGCCCTGGGTAGGCAACTAGAGGTCATGAGGATGGGGGCCCTATGACGGCATCAGAAGCTTTTCCAGGAGAGACAGACCTGAGCTAGCATGCTCGCTCTGCCTTGCCACGCGTTGCCCTCTGCCATGCTAGGATGCCACCCCGGCACTCCTGGACCCGCCAGCCTCCTGGACCATGATCTAAACACATCTCTATTCTTCATAAATCATCCAGTTACTTTTTACTTCTAGCAACAGAAAACAGCCTAAGAAGGGATCAGAGAGGCAAAGTTACTCTCCCAAAGCCAAGGTGGGGAGGAGCCCGGGGCGGAGGGTGGGGGGCAGAGTGACCAGTGGTGGGGTCGAAACAGGCACTGGGGACTCCTTGAGCCAACGAAGCCACGGTCACTGGTTCGATGGCCATCTGCAGAAAAAGCTGGACATTTTTGTTTTTCACATCATGTTATGTGGTTCAAATTGCTCTTAAACTATTGTGTACTGCAGAAAGAGATGTCGGTCCTTTTAGAAGAGGCCGGTTGATGTCATGGGCCAGGCCATAAAAACTGCCACCTGGTGTCTAGGAGGATGAAACTGTCAGAGGGACTGATCTTAAGCGCCCACAGCGCTGACACGGTAGCAGTCACCCCGCAGGTAGATCTTTCGAGTGGGCTCGGTCTCCCGGCCCCCTGCCCTGGGAACCACCCTTCTCAGCTGGACGGTCCATCAGAAGGAAGACCAGAGAGGCTCAGGAGCACATGTGCCCACGGGAGCAGATCCGACAGCCTCCACCATCTGGGTGCCCTCCTGGAGGTGGAGCTGTGTGTCTGGGGTCAGCAGAGAAGGGCTCTGGGGGTCTTCGCCCACCAGGAGGAGCGGGTCTGACTCTTGCAAGGGCCTCTCCGTTGGAAGCAGAGCTGGCCAGGGCTGCCTGGAGCAGCTCCACCCGCCTGCTGGTTTTCATGGGTGGTGAGCACCTTCTGCCTCGCCTGATGCTCCCAGACCTCTCCGGCATCCTACCCACAGGCTCTCCAAGCCTCATCCTGCTCGCTCAGAAACCCGGTGAACGGCCTAAACTGGGAGCAGGCGGCAGTCCCCAGGCCTAGCCCAGGCTGGCAGGAGCAGGCCCCTGCCTGCCTCGAGGTCCCTACCCTCCAGCTGTCGCTCCCCCTCCATGCCCACTGGCACCATTTGGCAGAACGCAGCCCCCTGCCCCCACCCCAGCCCGGTCCAGCAGGCACAGCTTCAGTTTCCACAGAAACTCTGGCTTTCCTGGGGTTTGGAGCAGGCCAGGCGAGCAGGGAGGTGGGTGGTTTCTGCTGGCCACAGGCTCAGGCGGCCACACTCCTCTCTGAGTTCCAACTGCTGCTGGCTTCTGAAGCCCCTCTCCTCCCACAGCTTCTGGCAGGGCACGGTCACCGCAACTACAGAGGCTTGGCCCATTCTGGCGGAGGGGGATGGGGTGGCCTATTGTTGGTTCCTATTCCTCCACTCCCTGAAATCCCAAAGAGCAGCAATCGCCTGTAAGTGTCCTTTGGAACCTTTCAAAGGGCTGTCCCAACTTTCTCTCTCACTCCATCCTCCTGGTTTCTCTAAGAAGCAAGCAGGATGACACAGATGAACCCCTCTTGGCCCCAGGAGAAGCAGAGGCTACAGAGGTGGAGGACCAGGGCTGTTAGAGGGTACAGGCCCCCGTGGAACCTTCCTGTGGCCACATAGTCGCTGCCACCACGCATCACGTACCCGACAAGAGACTCCCCCGTGTGTTCCCAGAAGCCACTGTGAAAATGTCTTTTTGCTTTCCATCGCCTCCCCTAGCAAAGAACCCAGAGGCCCCTCATTTAGGGAGCAGAGAGGGCAGCCTCACCTTGTCCAGGCACCAGAACCTGCCTTCCTGTCTCTTGTAAAGAATGAAACCCTTTCCAAGATCATGGGACGCTTCCAGAGTAAGGTAAAGGAAATGACCAAGGCTCAGGAAGAAGGCGGGCGGCCAAGGAGAGGCCAGGGCACAGGCAAGTGGGGCTGGAGAGGGAGTTTCCGAATCTTGCTCTGTACACCACTTGGTGGTCCCTCATGTGGACTTTCTGATGTGACAGTGAGATGAGAAGGTTCTGAGGACAGCCCAGGACTACTCATCCCTGAATCCAGAGAGTCAGTCACAGAGTCCAAGCCTCTACCTCTGCTCAGCCCCAACCCTGAGTTCCCCCAGATGATGAGTCAGTCTGAATCCTCATCTGCAAGATCTTCAGAGAAGGAGATGCCTTACTGATGTCTTCCTGGGTCTATACACTTGGATGGTTCTATGAACTTCCTCGGGTCTTGCCTAAGTCCTTCCTGCTGCATTTTTAAAAGGCCTCTTTTTGGGGTCTCTGTGGGGCAGAGCAGGCATGCTGCCCAGGGGCAGGAAATGAAGTCATGATGCGGATCATTTCCCTCTTTTCTTCCCTCTCTTCCCTCATCCTGCCCCATCTCCCTGTTGCCCCCACTCCTGGGACCACTCATCAGATGTCCTGTGACTGTGACGAGAAAGGGCTGCTGTGTGCACAGTGCCCTGATGTGTTGTCGATTTTTGCCGTGAGCCTTGAGGCTTCTCCTGGAGCCCCGACAAGGGAAATCCCATAATGAAGGATTTCACGGAGCTCCACACACGGGGGGAGGCTTTTCTTTCCATCTGTCATTTTACTTTAAGCCTTGACCTTTGTGTTCCCATGTAAGGCAGGACCAAGAAGAGGCTTGGACTGGGGAGTAAACGTCTGGGTTGGGACCCTGGACCGGGTGGCCAGTGAACCAGGGCAAGTGACCTAAGACTCGGGTGGCATGGAAAGGAGAAATTAAGCAAGATATACACACTCGAGAAGTGGAGACGGGAGACAGGCGGGGGGAATAGAGAAGAGTTTAAAGAAAAGGACAGCCCCCTTGGTTTAGGAGTTCCTATAAGAAGGTAGGAAGGCTGAACAAGCTACAAGTCCCCTGGTCTAGCCAGACACTCAGGGAATTCATGATTACCAAAGAAAACAGAGGGTTCAGAGGAAAAAAATTAAATTTTTTTTTTAAAAAAATTGGGATTTGAATACCAGTTCCTCCACTTGGAGCAAACTTGAGGAAGCTGCTAAACTTCCTCAATTCTCATTGTCCTCTTTTGAAAGTCAGGGATAGTGATGCAGACATAGAAGACATTGCAGGTTTGCTTTGCAGATAAAAGCACTTGGCAGCTAGGCGTGGCAGCTCAGGAGGCTGAGGCAGGAGGATTGCAAGTTCAAGGCCAGCCTCAGCACCTTAGCCAGACCTTAAGCAACTTAGTGAGACACTGTCTCAAGAAAAATAAAAAGGGCTGGGGATGTGGCTCAGTGGTTAAGTGCACCTGGGCTCCATCCCCAGTTACCACCCCCTGACACACACATATGATCCTTGGCATAGCACCTGCAAACAGGTAGCACTTCATCAGGGGTAGCTACAGGTCCTTAGAGAAAAGATAGGACCTCAGCATCAAAAAGCCCAGCCTTCGTCTCTCTTTGCCAACCGGACCCCCTGAACCTCCCCAGAGGGGCCTCGAACCAGCACAGACAGCCGATGGGAAAGCCAGCCCAGGGCTTTGATACCAGCAGAGGGACCATCTTCTGCCCAGCTTTCCCATGTCAGGTCGATAGGAAGACTGAAAAAAAAAAAGAGAAAAACTCGGTCTCCAAGGCTCCAAGACAAAACACCCGCCCCGCACGGCTTTGAAAGGGCAGACTCTCAAGATGCACAAGGATTTTGATTGTTTGAAATGTTGGTAACATTTCATCTTCCCAGGGACCTTGTTCATTTATCAGGGTTCTTAAAACCCTTTTGTTCATGAGCTCGTGGTGGGGACAGAAAACATTCCATCTAATATCAGCACAGCTGTTCAGTGACCAAAAGACTCGGGGGGCAGCCCTGAAGAGAGGAAGGGGGGGGACCCACGAGGGACCGAGACATGGGAAAAGGAGCTGGGGCAGGAAGGAGGCCCCACAGCAACAGCTGCCTCGCAGGAACACGCTGTTGGGGTGGTGCGAGAAAAAGGACCAGCTCGCTGCCGGCTCAGCTCCACCAGGTCTCAGCCAACAGGGCGGGCAGGCGACAGGGCAGGCCCCGAGGCTGGGCTCCTCCTCTCTGTAGGGTTCCTGGCAATGGCGCACGAGGTCCCCAGACAGGGCCCCTAAAAATGTTTGAAGTAGGTGTGGAGGCCTGAGTAACATCTTCTTAAGGGCCAGTGTGGCTGGGGAAAAAAAAAAAAAAGTCTAGTGGAAAACTTTGTCCATCCAAGGCCACAGAAGACCAGGCAACATTCTCTAAAAAGGGCTTTGAATGCTGCGGAGAGCACAGGACAGAGTGAGCAGGGCCAGGCCTAGGTGGGGACCCCATGGCACCACCACCAGCCGTGTGAGGTGAGGGCAGACGGTCCTGAGTCTAGACTTTATGTTCCGCTCTTGATTACTTAGTCCTGTGGAACTTCACGACTTAGGATAAGGGAAAATCACCTCCGTGTCTACGAAGTGTCTGGATCGTAGGGCATTTTTTAAATGGGAATTTATCTCACATTGAAAGTCACTTCCTAAAAAAGAGGGAAATAAACTGAAGGACTTTTTTTTTTTTTTTCCAGAAACAGAGCTCAAAACCAGGGCCTCATGGGTGTGACCTCAGCCTTCTACCACTGAGTTACATCCCCAGCCCAGGTTCATTTTTTAACACTGAGAATTACAGTTGCCTTGCATGTGCATATTTGTACGTGTGGGCCAGTCTGGGATACCAGTGTACTATAGAAATCATCATCACCATGAGCTCCTGAATCATGTGTAGGTTTGGATTCTGGTGCTGGGTGACCTTGAGAAAATGTTTCAACCTCTCTGGGCCTGGCATTCCTCACCAGCACAATGAGAATAAAGGCACCTGCTTCATGGGATTGTTATGAAAATGACGTGAGAGGCTGCTTACGAAATGTTTAGAAGAGGAAAGGAACCTAACGAGCCCCACAAAATTAGAAGTTATGATTTTAATAAGATGAGGCCGTCATGAGATTTTGTTGCAGTAAGAAGAACCAAGTCAGGAAACATGGTTATTAATTTGACCATAAACTGAATCTTATAATATCTCTGGACCTCATTTTTCTCTGTCAGAGGCACATGACCTATCTACCCTATCTGACATGCACGTTATGTTCAAAGAAGCTTATGGAACATGAAGGCACTTATGAGCATAATCTACAGTTTAGGTAAAGTGTCCTTATCCTGTGTTTTAGTACAGCCAACATTCTCATGTAAGGACTTTGAATAACCAGACAGTGGTCCCGCCTGATAACCTGGCCTGATCTCTGATTTAGGATTTTGATTCTAACAAACTAGTTACAGAGTCGGGGGGCAGACACAGAGACAAAGAGGAAGAGACAAAGAATATGGTAAGTTCAGTGAGATTAAGGAATCATTGTTGATTTTTAAATTGTGATTGCAGATATTCATGTATGTATCAGAGGTTTTACTCACAGTTACACATGGAGTAGTCACTGATGCAATGATAGGAGGTTTGGATTTGCTTTAAAATCATCTGGCTGGAGGGGAAACAGGGTTGGGTATTGGCTGTAGTTAATCATTGTAGAAGCCAGGTGAGGGGTGCATGGGAGTGAGCTAGATTATATTCTCTACTTCAATGTTTGAAAGTTTTCCATAATAAAACAAAGAAACAGCACAAATGAAATCCAAAAAACGGGATCACTGACTAAGCATCCTTGACGGCAGCTGAGGACCAGGTGGAGTTCCAACTAGGAGTCCCGGATCTTGGATACCACATGAGGCACGGTAATGGGAGAAAACTGGACACTGGACTTTGCAATGTGAAAAGTCAGGAAATTTCTCCAGACCACAGTTTCTTCCTTTCTAAAGTGAAGAGTGGAGACTCAAAGTCCCTCCCAGAACTAGCATGATGTCAGTTCCAGGGGTCTCAAGTGGCCAGGTATATGGTGCCAGACTTCACGAACTGAATGTTCTCTCTTTCTTTCTTTTTTTCCTTCTTTTTTTGTACTGAGAAGTTAATCCAGGAGTGCTTAACCACTGAGCAACACCACCATCCCTTTGAATTCTTTTCTTTTGAGATGGGGTCTCACTAAGTTGTTGAGCTGGCTTTTAACTTGTGATCCTCCTGCCTCGGCCTCCCAAGCAACTGAGATTAGAGGTGTGCCCCACCATGCCCAGCCAGAATGTTCTCTTTCACATAATGAAATGGTTTTAAAGTACCAGAAATATTCTCTGATTTAAGAAGCACCACAACAGAGACTCCAGCTAAGTAAAAAAATCCTTAATGAAGTGTGTCCCTTCTTCCCCAATTAATTTGTAGTTTCAGATGGGTTTTTATAGTCAAAGTTAAATTGATTCAAACATTCAAAGCTTGGAGAATTTATTCTAAATTCCATTTTTATGAACTGAATATTAACTTGAGAAAAAAAAAAGAATCCTTTATGTTTCTTTCAAAATCAGGTTATTTCTCTCAAAAGAAGAGTCTATTTTCCCATCTTAGCCAGCACAGAGCAAGGAATTCAAACTTCTGGGTTCTGACCAGAAGTTACCACAGGCATGGACTCTCACCATCTGGGATTGGAGATGTAGACAGAAGGGTAGAGGTGAAATTGAGTCTACACTGATGCCTCAGAACCTTCTAAAAGATGCATGTTCAATAGTGGTCTTTGTAGGAGCCTGTTTTATTGCAACTTCTCTTATAAATAGAAGACAGAAGAAAGAAGAGTAGTTAATAAAGTGTTTTGGTTGCATCACTTTTATGAAATGTGTTTTCTCCCTGAAGTCTCTCAGTTCCAAACACTTCTCAAAAGATTTGGAGTTGGGCACTGTGGTGCATGACTGTCATCCCAGCTATTCTGGAGGCTGAGGCAGGAAGGTTGCTTGAGTCCAATAGTTTGAAACCAGCCTGGGCAACAGAGTAGGATTCCCATCTGAAAAACAGAAAATGAAGGGGATTAAAAAAGACTTGGAATAAACTTTTCTAGGGCATCTCTCACTTCTTCTAAGTGCCTATTTTCTCTAGCATCCATTCAATACTTTTGCTCTCTTCAAAGTACTCTGTTTCACTGACCATTGAAAAAGCAGACAAGAAAGGTTAATAAGCCATCATTTATTGAATGGCTGCTGCATGCAGACACACTCACTAGGAGCTACAGGAGATAAAAAGGAACAAGAAGGTCCCTGAGAGCAGGGCACACACCTGGGATCCCTGCTACCTGGAGGCTGAGGCAGGAGGATTGCAAATTCTAGGCCAGCCTCAGCAACTTAGTGGGGACCTCTCTCTCTTAAAAAAAAAAAAAAAAAAAAGACCAGGGATGTAGCTCAGTGGTAGAGCACCTGCTGAGCACGTGCAAGACCCTGGGTTCTACCTGTAGTACCAAAGGAAAGAAAGAAAGGGAATGCCCCCGACAAGTTCAGACTCTGATACCAGGGTTTCTGCGCTGTGTTTGTCCCAGCTTACTTCTCATTCCCTGAGCACGTGGGCCTCCATTTCCTTCTCTGTTACATGGTGATTGATATCACATCCCTTCTTGATATCAAGAGGACTGAATGAGACAATCCATGGAAAGCAGTTAAAATAGTGCTTGGCATAGGCTCCAGAGGCTTGAGCATCTTGGAAGAGCACGCGGGAGCCCACTAACACCAGGAGACACTGTACCGGTGGGGCAGTGTGGTGCTTCACCAGAGGCCCGAAGCCATCAGGCTGCCTGATCTGAGACCTCAACCTCTAGAACCATGAAATAAGTAAAACCTTTCTCTTTAGGAGTTAATTGTCTCAGGTATTTCCTTGTAGTATCAAGAAGCTGACTAATCATAGCACAGGGTGTCTGAGACTTTCAATACCCAAGTGGCTGGCCTGAGCTTCAGCCCACCCGGGACCCCCCTCCCTAAATGAATGTGGAAGGCCTGGACCTCAGGGCACCTAGGCTTCTGTCCACTGAATAGGATTGTGAATTCTCCAGGTCGCCGGCTAGAGGGGGCATCATGGAGGAGGCGTATTGGAGCCAAGACTTCAAAGATGGGTAGGGCTTTAGAAGGCTCGTGGACAGGAATGATGAAGAGGTCAGCTTCAGAGGAGCACATGTCCTCTTTCTAGAGGACCCCTTGGTGGCCACATCTTCCAGGCTGAGACATCAGGTGCTGCTGGGAATGTGTTCCTCTCTCCCCTGGGAATTCCCAAGCTGCTGCCTGAATAGCAACTGACTTTCTTGCTCCCCCTGACTCTTGGAGGAGCTTCTACCCACATCCCCCTCTTCCACAGAACGGCCCTTCTCAGGTCCGACTGCTGAGGTCTGCCAGTCCTTTCACGAGGTGTTCTCCTCTCCCGGGCACCACGTTCGGTTGGTTTCCTGGAAGCCAGGACTTGCATGTGTGCCCCGCCCAGGGCAGGGTTGCCAACCTCAGGGTGGGGCTTCAGGCCTTCCCTGGCAGGCCTCCAGGCTTGTGGCTGCCATGTAGTCACCCTTCTACTGCCCTGCACCCTCCAGAGTTGCAGGGAGGGACACGGTGTCACTGGATCCCCTTCCCAATTCAGCTTTTGCAAAGTTGTGTTTCAAGTCTAGATTCCACCAGTTACTGGCTGTAGAATTTGGGTACATTGCTGGATCCTCCCTAGCCTCCCTAGTTTCTTTCTTCATCATACGGGAACTATAAAAAACACCTCATGGCAGAGCTGTGAATTAAATGATCAGCCACAAGCTGCATGGTAGATAGAAGAGCTGAATACATTTCGGCCATTATTGTCACCCCCCTGGGCTCCCCCAAGCCTGAACACAGCAGAGGAGACTGTTCACGCAATAGTGTTAGGGAAAATCTTGCACTTTCTTCATTTTTCCAGTTGAGGGTCAGGAAAAAAAAAAAGTGAAGCAAGGCTGAGTCCCTGGAATACTTCTGCCCAGTGTCCCACATCACAGGATGTGCCCATCCTGCTCCGGAGTCCTCATCCCCCTCTGGCTGCAGTCCTCCTTCCCCTCACCATCGACACCCCCTCCTTCTGCAGAGATGGTGAACACTCTGGCATTGTTTCTTCCGGCCAATGGCTTCTCCCTGGCCTGTGATTGGTACCCCCCGAGATTCCACTGCAATCCAGGCATCCCAGCTATGTCAGCGTGACTCAAATTGTGTGTGTCTGACATCCACATGGCCCCGTAGAAGGCCGGCTCCAGCAGAAGGTTATTTGGAACACTGCTGAATGTTTGATGGCTGTCAAGTTATCTTTTTGGGGTCGGGCCATTAAAGTTGCATCTGATGTTTTAGGGAACAGAGGAGATAAACTGCATGTTGACATCCAACGGGGCACAGAACAGATTGTTTTGGACACAGACACGGTGGCAGCTTCAGCTAGGTGGGTTCCCCCACCAAACTCTGGAGATTTTTTCTTCCGCATGGCTATTTTACTCGAATGCAAAGCAGAAACAGTCTCCAAAAGCAAAGCACAGAGACTGCCAGAGGAACAGATTCAGTAAAATCTGGGCCTGCTGGGTCCCCTACAAAGCACGTGGCCCTATTCACCGGGCTTCTATCATCTGGATCAGAGAGCTCTGGGATCCATCTCTAAATTCTCTACCTAATCTGTATCATGAATCCTGAAAAAGCTATTTTTCTAGGCAAACCTAAATCCCGCCTGAGTGCCTCTTAGCTCATGCCCCCCGGTACCTCTCTCTCTCCACGTGACCCCAAGGGATCAAGGAGTCAGTGGCACCAGCCGATTCTTAGTTCCCCCGAGCACACTGTGTACCCCTCCCACTCTTCTTCCTGTTTTCCAGAATAGTCTTTCCTTCTGTTTCTCCTTGTTATATATCCAACCACAGGTCCCACAGAGTCCTACCAAATGACAGACACACCGCCAGCCAATAATATGCAGATAAGCAGACCAGGAGTCACAGCGCTGGTCCCTGAAGCCAGGAATCCTGGGCCACCTCCTCCATGCAGTCTTCTTGGTCATCCACTCAATAGAGGTGACTTATAGGATCACCTCAACTCCCTTAACATTTAGTTGGTCCCTACTGACCTCTCCATCATATTAAAGTACAAGGTGTGTGTGTGTGTGTGTGTGTGTGTGTGTGTGTGTGTGTGTGTGTGCATGTGTGTGTAGAATTGTATATTAAGCATATATGTTGGTTTTCAGTTTGCTTTTTTTTTAACTTGATACTACATAGAGTTCATTTTCTGAGGTAATGCATCCATACAACCAT